GTTTGCACTCAACTCAGCTTACTGGGGCAGTTTGGCTTTTAGCCTCGAACAGAGCTTTGAGGCCGTCAGTCTCGTCCCAGCCAAAAACATCAGCAGGAGCGAGAACACACTTCTTGTGAAAGACCTCGTGGGGTGAATTTTTGCCAGAGTGGTGGTGTAACCAGAATGGGGTGAGGACATTTGGGGCCCTGTCACCCCGTGGGCGTGGGTGGAATTACTCGTCTACGTTGTAGATCTCAGACTTGTCTCCCTTTTTGGGAGATCATCCATCTTCCGTTAGGAACTTTTCATTGTAGGAAAAGACACATAGCATAAAACTGACCATTTTTAGGTGTACAGTTCTGTGGCATCTAGTACACTCGCATTGCTGTGCAGCCATCCCCACGAGCCATCTAAGAACTTTTTCAACTTCGCCAACGAAAACTCTGTGCCCACCAAACACTAACTCCCCTAGCCCCTAGATATGCTTTTAAGAGGGGAAAAAAAAAGCCTAACTCAGAGCGTGGGTATCCCAGCGTGGGCTTAATGACAGAGGCCTGGGGTCACGAAAGTGCTTGTGGTTTGGGGCTCTAAACACCTGAGAAGGACACTCAGTAATGTTTCCTTGAAGTTATCCTTTTGAGTTGTCAGGATTTTGAGGTAAGAACTGTGTGCCGTGAGGTGTGGACCAGCTGACAATCTAGACCCGTGCACAGGAGAGAAGGGTCTCCTGAGAGTGTGCTGCAAGGCCTGGGGGTGGGAGGTGACAGGTGCCAGGGCCCAATGCAACCCCCCTCCTCAGGTAAGCTCTTTCCTCAGGTTTGCACCTGGAGTGGTCTGAGTCTTGGTGAGGGGATGGTCCCAATAGTTGAGGCAGAGGGGACGATGGCGGTAGCTTCTGCTTGCTGCAGGCTGGCTGTGTGCAGGCTGGCTGTGTGCAGGTTGGCTGTGTGCAGCCCACTGTGTATAGGCCCACTGTGTGCAGGCCCCACGTGCAGCCCAGACAGGCCCCCTCAGGCCCCACCTGCCTGTCTTCCAGATTCTCCCCAGCTTGCGGGCTAGCGGCGCCATGCTGGATGTGGTGGACAGCTGCTCCATGCTCTACCGGCTGCAGATGGAAGGTAGGCAGCCCTCTTCTGTCCCCTCGGGTCCTGTCCCCTGTCCCCTCCCACACAATGAGGCGTTGGTGTCACGGCCTGGGCCCAGGGCCGGGCAGGAGCTCATGAGCGAGGCCCTCTGGGTCTCGCTGCAGGACTTGGGATGGTGTGCCCTGGGTGCCAGCTCTGCAGCCGCCTTCCAGCAGCCTGAGGGCACCCACAGCCCTTTTCCCCAGTTCCCACCACCCCTTGGTGTGCAGGCCTCGGTCTCCATGCCCATGGTGGCACCTGCCGTTCCCACAGCCTGCCCACCAGGCCTGCGGGGCACAGGTGGCACCTCGCTGCCTGTCTGGATGCTGCCTCCTTTTCTAGAACAAGGGTTTCTCAGCTGCTGGGATTTCAGAGGTTTCTCAACATAGTCACACTGTGCTCTGCAGGCAGCCAGGATGGGGTTGGCTACAGCTCTGGGGCCTGTGAAGGGCTTCCAGCCAACTCCTGGGGTGCCAGTTGGTTCTCCGTCTTCCCCAGGCCCAGCAGAGCCAAACCTGTACCCGCTCTAGGTGCTGGGTCAGCAGGATAATGTGGGGGTGAGGCATGGGTAGGGCAAGCCGTTTCCAGAGGGTTCCTGGAAGGTTCCTAGAAGAGGTGACTTGGGAACCGTGGGAGGGTGCTGAGGATTTTGCTGGGCAGAGATGGAAAAGGACGTTACATGCAGAGAGCATCCTGTTACGGGGACGAGTGACCGGAGGGTAGGGTCCGTGTGGTCAGATGGCGCACAGGAGGCTGGGGGCGGGTGGGGCAGGAACCCCTGGGAAGAGCACGGTGAGGAGCCTGGCTTTTATCTGGTCTTCGAGGAGCCTGCTACAGCGGGGATGGACAGGCTCTGATGTGCCTCTGAGGAAGGTCCTCTGAGCAGTGGGGGCTGAGCCAGGGAGGCTGAGGCTGGAGTCTGGAGGAACCGTAAGGCCAAGGGCTGAGAGAAGAGCAGGGAAGTCGGGCGGTCCTAAATGAGCCCTGGGGACCCGGGAGGAGGCCAGGGGATCGGGCAGGAGGCCGCTGCACTTTCTAGGCTGGCTCCCGGACATCCAGGTGGCAAGACAGGGACACCGAAGCCTGGGCTGGAAGTTCGCCTGTGTCCTTTGTCCAGCCCAAGCCTCTCAGAACTGGCGGGGGCTGGAGGGAGGGCAACTTGGAGGCTGGAGGCGAGGCGGGGGTGCCGGGTGCTGGTGGGGGGGAGAGAAAGGCCACTCGCCCCCTCACTGTGCAGACTGGAGCCTTGAGAGCCGTGTCCATTGTTCACTGGCTGAGAAGTGGAGGCCCAGGGCAACATCTCTAGATATGGAGGTGCCCACGGGAGAAGTAGGAAGAATCCGGTAACTCCCAGGACTTGGGAAGACAGGAGGTGGGAGGTGGTGTTGGAGAGTGGAGCAAAAGTAGGGACTGTCTAGAGTTGAGAAATCTAGATGCAAAGGTGGAAGGAGGCCATTTACTAATTGGGCAGATTTTTATCAAGCGCCTATTATGTATCAGGTGCTGCACCAACAATGACACTGGAAGAATTTAAAAAGTGGTTTTAGGGCTTGTCAAGGGGCCAGAGACTTCACTTAATACCCTTCAATAGTTTTCGAAATTTGCTTTCTATCTTATGCATCTATTGCTTTTATAAGGAAACAAAGTGAACATAAACTTGGCCCAAAGGCCTCAGCCTGAGGCCAGACACTGCGTGCCAGCCCTGCTCCCCTGCCCGGCCTCCTTGCCCGGAAAGGATCATGGGGCTGCCCTGCACTCCAGAGCCTCACACCAGGCCTGTGCTGTCCTTCCCATGTCCTCAGGGGTGTCTGTGGGTGAGCGGTGGAAGGATGTCCTATCCGTGACCCAGAAACACAGCCAAGACCATGTCCTGCTGTTCAACGACGTGCACTTCCTGATGGCGTCCCTGGGAGCTCGGGACTCCAGAACCACGGAGGAGCTGCTGACCACCTTGCAGGACGCCAGCGAGTATGCCGAGGGGCCAGGGTCCTGGAAGCCCCTGCTGCCAGGGAGGCTGGGGGTGGGGCCCCCCTTGGTGAGCACAGCCTTGGGGATGCCCACAGAGGGCTGCTCGCAGATGTGTACCCCCCCAGGTGTGTGTCCTCAGGTGTATGCCCCCCAAGTGTGCGCACTCCAGGTATGCGCCCTGCAGGTGTGCATATTCCAGGTGCTCATCCCCACAGATGTGCACCCCCCGGGTGTGCGCCCCGCAGGTGTGCAGGCTGGCTGTGTGCAGGCCCACTGTGTGCAGGCCCACTGTGTGTAGGCTGGCTGTAGTATGCACTCCCTGGGTGGGAGTACCCTGCAAAGATGCCGTGGTTTGCTCCAGGACACAGAGCTGCCTCTCCATCCCCAAGGTGGGTGTGAGAGCGTCAGTGTCACGTGGGCAGCCTCCCATGGAGGCACAGTGGGGACCTGCCACTGACAGGATCTCAGATCCGGGACAAGCACTTCTCTGCCCTGAGCCTCAGTTTCCTCGTGTGCAAATCAGGGATAGTGCCTGCTGAGGCAGGCTGGTAGGAGGGGACGTGCGACCACCCGCCTCCCTGGTGTGGCGCCTGGCACTGGGGGGAGCCATTTCACATCACAGTAGAGGCCAGAGGGAGTCTGGGGGCAGGTCCTCCACGGCACACATCCACCGGAGAGGCAGCCCCCCTCGTCTTCCCCCTGAAGGGCTAGAGCTGTGGGAGCCGTGACCCCTGTGGTTTGTCCTGGGGCCTGGTGGAGGGTGACCGGTGCCACAGCTCAAGCTGGACACCACCGCCGCTTGCGCGGCCCCTCCTGGGTGAGATGTCCGGTGTTAGAGAGCTCTCATTTCAGCCGAGGGACGGGCCGAGGAGCCAGAGCCGCTGAGCTTTTAAGCGAGGCTTGGAGCTGGCTGCTACCTCTGGGCCCCCGGTGCTCACGACCCACATCAGCTGGCATCTGAGGCCAGTGGATAGACACGGGCTGCCACAGCCATTCGCTCCCAGTGTTGGTGCCAACTCCAGTGCCAGGCCTTTACCTGTATTGCCTGTCATCCTCCTGACAGCCTGCGAGGTCAGCACTGTCACTCCTGCTTTACAGATGAGCAAACTGAGGCCAGAAGTGGTGGACCAGCACAAAGCCAGGTCGCTAGTAAACCCAGTTGACCTCAGTTTACAGCCCTGTTCTCGCCCCTCTCCGGCTGCTTCTCTTCTGTGAGCTCACCTGATCAAAGTTCCTACTGTGTGCCAGGCACAGTGCCAGAGACACCAGGCTGAGACAGCGACAGCCCTCCCCTCAGCAGCCTGAGCCAGGCAGGGAGACAGGTGTGCAGTGACGGGGCCCTGCAGGCTGCTGAGGGCACCTTCTCGGGCTGGCAGGTCCCCGGGGGAGAACTGCCAGCATCTCCTGGCCCGCGACGTGGGGCTGCCCCTGTGCCAGGCCCTGGTGGAGGCCGAGAATGGGAACCCTGATCGCGCCGTGGAACTGCTCCTGCCCATCCGCTACCGGGTCGTCCAGATTGGAGGCAGCAACGCCCAGGTGAGCCTCTGGCCTCGAGCCGCGCCTGCAGCTGGAGCACGAGCGCTGTGTCCAGGAGCCCCCGTGCCCGGCAGCCCCAGCCTCTCCGAGGTATTGTGCCCACAGTGTGGGGTGTCCTTGTCTTTCACACCCCCAGGAAGTGTGTCCCTGAGAACAGGCTGGCCTGCAGTGGGCTGGGGGTTCCCATCCCTCATCCCACATCACAGGAGCCTAACCTGCCTTTCAGAGAGACGTCTTCAACCAGTTACTGATTCATGTGGCCTTAAACTGCACGTCCAGCACCTACAAGAACGTGGCCCGGTAAGTTCCTCACTCATGTCCCAAACCCGGGCTTGGGAAAGTTTCCGGGCATAGCTGCCTCTCTCACATGGGGGTCTCCCAGTGGGCTTCCAGCATGCCCAGAGGCTCCTACCTCCCTTGGCCCGAGGTGGTTCCCGCCTTTGAGGTTGTGAAGATGCAAGGTTACAGGGGCACCTGGCTCTCTGTTGGTAGCATGCTCAACTTGGCCAAAGGGGACCAGCCACCCCAACCCCCAGGCCCACCCTCCTGCCCTCCCCAGCCCACTCCTCATTCTAGCCATGCTGAGCTACAGTTACCCAAACACGTTCTGCTCTTTCAGGCCCCAGGGCCTTTGCACGTGCTGTGCCCTCTGCCTCGGATATCCTTTCTTCTTTTTCACCTGGTTTATGCCTGCTGATCCTTCAGGCCTCAGCTCATGTTCTCCTACCTGACTATGCTGGGTGCTGGGGGCACTGATGGGCCGGCAGACCCAGGCTCTGGCTGCACCGAGCTTCCCTCTTAGGCGGGAACTGACAAATACAGTAATACCTTGGTTTGCGAGCATAATTCCTTCCAGAAACAAACTACTCGTATTGCAAGACATCGCTCGTTTACCACGTTAAAATGTATTAGAAATGTTTGCTCGTCTTGCAGACCACTCTCAAACCACGTTACTCGCAATCCAAGGTTTTCCTGTGTATGTAAAACTGCCATGGGGCATAGTGCTCCGAGATGCTGTCATGGAGGCACTGAGCAGGCAGGTGAGGGGAGGCCTGAAACCAAGCCAGTTTAACCAGGCCAGGGGTGTTGTGGTTAGCAGGAGGGGCTGAAGGGGTATGGCTGGGGGATTGAGGGTGTTGGGGTGGGGACGCCCCAAGAAGAAAGCTCTGTGAAGCCCAGCCATTGCCCGCAGCCTTGGTGTTCCCACACCCAGCTCACACCTTACCCCAATGGGGTGGCCAGATTCTTTGCTGGCTTCTGCACCCGCCATGTGCTCCTGGGACATGAGCCTCCTCTTTGCCCGAGTTCCCTGCACCCTGCTGGAACTCCAAGGGGAAGAGGGGAGAGAGGAACTGCTGGGTGCGCAGTGGGCAGGACAGCTGTCCGGAGACCCAGCGAGGCTGGAGGCTCTCGGCCGGGCCTTGCGGTCAGGTGGAAAGTGCCAGGGTGTAAGCACAGGCTCAGGTGGCCCGCGGTGGGGGAGACCCAGCTGCCCCCACAGCATTTCCAAAACCAGCCGCACAGGTGTTCGTGGCGCTGATCAAACAGGTATGCACTCCCTGGAGTTGGTTCAACTCAAGCGTCTTGCACACATGCCCGTGCTCTTCACCCCTCCGTGGCCATATGTAAAAGTCACACGCATCGCTTTAGCGGTGGGTCCCCTTAGAGAGCTCCAGGTGTGGGTGAGACTGGTGCCTCTGGTGACAGCTGGGCAGGAAGGTGGGGCTGTTAGGGCTGAGAGGAGGGCTGAGGGCCTCAGCAGGGAGCTGGGGTGGGGTGGGGAGTGGGTGGGGGCGCTCCACAGTGGGGCCTCTGCCCCTGGGAGTGCTGGGGGCAAACAGGTCCCATGGGCAGCCTGGAGCAGACACTGACCGTGGAGGGGGGGCCTGCTGTGTCAGGGTGACAAATGCACCCTCTCCAAGGGCCTCCCTCTCATGGTCATGCAGCACCTGTGAGGCTGTCAGCTCAGCTCCTGTCCCCTCAAAGGTGGGGAACGCTCAGCCCCCTGTCCTGGTGTCCCCCCACCCCGAGTGCCAGGCCCAGTCCATCAACCCCACCCTCACCCACAGAATCACTGTTGTCAGTTGTTTGAGGTCTTTGCCTTAAACGGTTCCTATGCTTGCTTGCTTTCCTTAAACTTGGAGTTTTTCTCCCCACTTCTCTTCTGCTACTTAGGCGTGGCTCCCCCAACCTACCCCCACAGAGGCACTCCCCCGTCTTGTCCGTGAGTTCCTGAGGCAGACAGGCCACAGGGATGTGCTCACCCTGGAATTTGAGTCACTGGAGGTGTCACGGGGACAATGTAAAAATGCTCTCCAAACAGTGGATGTCCCAGTTATGCTCCTGCACCTGCTCGAGGATGCTGAGGCCTGGCAGTCCACGCCTCCTCATCCTCACGCCTCCGCTTGTCCAGCACAGCACCTGGTCTTCAGTCCCCCGCCAATCCAGGCCTCCTGCCTGTGGGCCTTTGTCCATCCTGTCCCCTCTGCCATGATGCTGTCCCCTCCCCAGCAACCTGGGAAGAGGAGTGTGTCTTGCACTCCCCAGCCCAAGCTGCTTCTGTCCTCCCATCGGGCCCCCACATCCTTCTAGGAGGTTCCACCACAGACCCTGTCTGTTTCTGCAGGAGTCTTCTGATGGAGCGTGACGCCTTGAAGCCCAACTCGCCCCTGACTGAGCGGCTCATCCGAAAGGCAGCCTCCGTCCACCTCCTGCAGTGAGCCAGGCCTGCTGCCTCCCAGCCCTCAGATCCGCAGGCGTAGGAGACGAGCCCGTTTGCTAGGCCTGTGAGGGGTAGTCTGCAGAAAGCCCGGTAACCAGCAGCGTTACAGGAAGAGGGGAGAGCAATCAATTGTAAATGTGATTCAGAACCTTGTTAAGAGCCAAGGTGCAGTTCTAAGCAGTCAGAGGCAACGCGGGTGCTGCTGTCACCACTGCCTTGTAATTGTATTTTCCCAGGGGACTCTTACCCTGGGCTTTCAAGGGTTGAGAGCAGGGTGGGGGTGGGGGTGGGCAGCTCAGCTCGGGGAGGAGTCTTCACTGTCCCTGGGGGCTCCCCCCAGGCCAGGTTGCCCTTGAGATAAAGCCTCTCGTCTCCTGCATCCTATTCTAGACAGAGTCTGTTGTCCATTTTGGGGTGAGGATGGGGGGCAGTGATTTGTCCAGGGTCACAGCTAGTGGAGGTCCTGCTGAGATTCACCTCAGGCCCCGTCCTTCCTGGGAGAGGGGACCCCATCTCAGCCTGTGGCCTCAGCCCCAGCTGCTGCACCTATGCCCTCCTCACAGAAGCACCAGCCCGTGGTGCCCTTGTGCTGTCTGGAGAGAAGTCTGCCAGCTCCCAGGGGGCTTTGGATGGCACTGATTTGGGCTTCATTCTAAACTGCACATTGTAAAGGGGCCTCGGTACATAGTTTCCTTTGTCAACTGTGACTTTAATCACACAGATACAGCGCACAGAGCTGGCACACTTTCTGGGGTGTGAGGGTTGAGGTCGGGGGTTGCCCTGTTGTGGCAAAAACCAAAGCACTGTGACATGTGACTTCAACAAGATCTGAGCCGATTTTCTAAGTGCTGCCTCGGCCCTGCTTCCCGTGGTAGGCCTGGCCCCGCATCCCTCCTGCCAGCCTCTCGGGGCTGCGTGAGGGGGATCTCCGCCCACAGCAGTTTTTCAGGCGCCTTCAGTGGGTTCTGTCGTTAGGGAGGAACTCGCCAGAGCGGGGACACGCAGGTCTCCTGGGAGGCAGCAGAGGCCGCCAAATCTCTGGGATGAAAATAAATTAGTTACTTGGTTCCTTTGACGAACTGTTGCTGAGCAGGTCCCTTTGAGCCCCTCCCATGGGCCAGGCCTGGGCTGGGTCCTGGGGAAACAGTCTTCTCCTTGAACTTGCAGTGGGGTGAGGCAGTGAGTTAAGAAAATGGGTAATTACATTAGGGTTTCGAGGGAGGCGCTTTCTGTACCCAGGACCTAGGGACACATCCCAAGGGGGTGCCTGTCCTCCCATCCTGAGCTGTCCCCTCCTGCCAGTTCCCCTGATGAGCCTGCTCACACCCCATCTGCCCTCCCCTCTCCTGGTTCCCAGTGAGACACAACTTGGCCAGAGAAGCAGGAACCCTGCTCCCTCCTCCAGGAAGCCCTGGGCTCCCCACTGCAGGCGGGTGAGGGCGCCTCTGCTGTGCCCCAAAGCCCCGGGCATCTCCCCTTGTTATTGCATCTTCTCCCCAGCTGTGACCTCCTCAAGTCAGCGGCAGCATCTGTGTCCTAGCATCACCCAGCACGTGGCCTGCACGGGGTACCTGGCAGTGGTGAATGAATGCATAAATGGATGGAGCAGAACCCTCCTGGGAAAGGGGAAAAATGAATCTACAATGGACAGGCCGATGATAAAGAACAGGAGACCAAGAGATGGAGTAAAGATATAGATTAGCATTAGCAGCAACAAGTTATTAATGACTGGTGCTGTTTACTGAGTACCTACTATGTGCTGACTTGATACAGGAAGAGGAGCATGGGGAGTGGGTGCTGGGGACCCTCACCCCTAGAAGGGCTGTGGGGATCTGAAATCTGGGCCAAAAGCCCCCGAGTTGGGCTCCTGCCACAGCCTTGGGACTGTGGCTTGAGCACAGCAGCACAAACCAGCTGCTGTCTTCAGGAGACCCTGGCAGGCGGAGGGAAGCCTGGAGCTCCCTGGCTGGAGGGCCTGACAAAGCAGCCTGTCTGAGAGTGAGCAGGACCCCGGAGAGGCAGCTGGGAGGTGACCTGACCTGGTGCCCTCCATCGAGCCCCTCTCTCTACCAGGCCTGAAGCCAGGGCCACTCCTGGACTTCCCTGTTCCTTGAGCCAATAAGTTCTCCTCTTTTAAAGCCAGCTTGAAGCTGGTTTTCTGTCATTTGCACCCAAAGGCTCTTGACCAATACCTGCAGCTGGAATTTGCACCTGGGTCTCTCTTCTCCAGTGAACAGGATCCTGAGCAAAAGACAATGGGACTCAGAAAGGATCAGAGATTCAGGGGGGAAATTAGGGTTCAGAGGACCCAGCATATCAGGGCAAAGTGGCGAGTAAAGAGGGAGGCCGAGGCTGCAGAGGGAGCCCCGAGATAGAAAAGAGGTGTTGGGGATGCAGAGTGCAGGCCAGGCTCCTTCCACCTCACCCAGTTCTCACTCAGCTCCTGCCTGGTGCCCAGTGCTGGGCTGGGTGAGGCTGCAGGACAGCGGTGACAGCCCTGCCCTCTAGAAGTGCACAGTCTCGTGGGGAGCTGGGCTTGGAATCAGAAGTGGAGAGGGACCATGACAGTATAGGGCGATGGGTGTGGATGGTGTGAGGCCAGGGACACTGGAGCCCAGAGGTGGCCCCAGTCAGCCTGGAAGGCTTCTTGGTGGAGGTCCTGGGGCCAGGATTGCTGCTCCTGGGTAGCTCTTCACCCCACCTGCCCAAATAGACGGCTCACCGTCATCCCTGTAAATGGTGCCTCGTCCCAGGTCCTTCAGTCCCTATGAATTAGAGCACCAGCTTCATGCGGCTGCCCTGGGTGGAGCCCCCCATCTGATTCTCAAACCCATGAGGTGGGTATTATTTATACCTAGTTTACAGTCCGAGGCTCAAGTGAGGAGGTCTGAGCTGCTGCTGACTGGCCCGTCCACCAGTCAGTTCTCCCTGTCGCTCAGATCAGAGGTCTCCTATTTGCTCCAACCATGCAGACTCCATCACCTGGCTACCAGCCCCTGCCTCCAGGCGCGTCCCTCCAGTCTGCTCCCGCCACCCCCAGGCTATAAAGCCCAGGGCAGGCAGGCTTCTGTCATTCCCTCCGCCCGGGCTTAGGACCTCCGCCGGGCAGCTTCTCCTGGTCCAGGGGCAAAAAACGGCGTGTCTGGTCACCGAGAGCCACCTGCGCGCTCCTCGGGGTAGGGACCAGGTCTTCGTACTGTGTTAGGAACTGACTCGTATTGCTTTACAAAGCAGGCAGATGCACCTATTTCGTTTGGCGTTCACATCAACACCCTATGGTAGGAATTTAGTTTTCTCCATTTATACGTGAATCACGTCCCTTGCCACACACAGCTATCCAGATGCTAACTCTGAAGGTACACACAGCACGTGCTCTACGAAACCACCCTCGGGCGCGGCGAGGCCACAGCAGGGACGCAGCGGACCTCGGACATGCGCAGCCAACCCGCAGTTGGAGGCAGTGCGCACGCGCGCCACCGTCCTCCCCCGGAGCGCTCCGACTACAACCCCCAGGGTGCACCGGGCACGGCGACCTTTGCAGAGCCCTTTTCAAACCGGCCAATCGCAGCCTGCGCGGCGCCCGCCGCGGCTCGTTTAAATTTGGGGCAGAGGCTCTGTGGCTGGGCGGTCGCAGCCGCTTAGGGGTGAGGTGCCCTGTGTGGGCTCGGGCTGGGGGCCGTGGGGGTCCCCTCGCGCTCTCCGTCCCGTCTGCCCTAAGGACCTGGCCACCGTGGGGGCAAACCAAAGCCCCCACAGTCCGGCCCGAGAGCTGGGAATTCCGTTGCCCCCATCCGGGGCGTCCGGCCTGGCTCGGACCGGCGCCGCCCCGGGAGCTCCAAGTCTGGAGGCGCGGGCGCTGGGGGTGCCCCGCGGAGGGTCTCGAGCTGCATCTCAGGTGGCCTCTGGCCGCCCGTCTCCCTGACCTGGCCGGAGCCGCCAGCGCCCTCTGTGCCTGTCCGTGCTGCGGTGGGGGCGTCCCTGGGGACGGAGGAACCGGGGACCTGGGCTCTGAGCCCTGCTCACCTCTGGCCCCCTCCTCCCTGCAGTGACTTCCTGATAGCTCTCGGCATGGACGGGGGACACGGCGGCGACGCGCCTTCAGCCAGCCAGGCAGGAGAAGCGGAGATGAATGTCCCCAAGAAGGACGGTACGTCTCTGTCACCGCAGCGCCGTTGTTCAGGGAGCTCCGTGGGGACGTAGGATGAGTTAATGTATTATATGTCTTCAGAGTCAGTGCTCACTGTGCCCTGCACCCACGGAACTCATCATGGTCCCTGTCCCCAAGGAGTCTGCATCCATCTAACGTCTTTATTTTTCTGTTTTCTCCATCTCCCTTTACCCCCGGCTTCAAGTCCCGTCCTGAAAAGGGATTCTTACCGCTTGTATTTGCTGCAGAATCCCCAGTGCCCAGAACACCACCTGGCCCTTCGTTGACACTCACGTGTGTGTGTGTGTGTGTGTGGGATTGAATTTTGTGTTTTCTCTTTCTGTTTGTTGCTGGTTGCCGTTTGCTGACACTTGTCGAGCCTCTTTGCGACCATGCTTGGGATTGAGCCTGGCCCGTAATGTTGCCGTCTTGTTCTGTCCCTGTCTGGTTTCAGTGTCCAGGTGAGAGTACAGCCTCACCAGATGAGTTAAGGACGGTGCCCTCTTTGTCTGTTAAAGCATGGGGACACCCTTTTATCCTTTATTCCTCACCATGCTCATGCGGGGCCGGTAAACGGGGTACACCTCCATTTTGCAGAGACCGTCCTAGGGACTTGACCAGTCATCACGGACTCTTCACTGTACAGAGGAGGTCGTTGGCTGCCTCACCCCTCTCCTTCCTGTTGTACCCTCCTTTTCAAATGTCAGTCTCTTTGCTGGACCCCCATTGCTTCTCTTGAGGACTTCACCCCTCCTGTCGCCCTCCCTTCTCATCCTTACGTTTTGCCTGCCCGTTAGCTGTCACCCATCGTTGACATAACAGGTACACTCCTTATCTCACTTGGCCCCATGTCCTCCCCGTGGCAGGGTGCCTCATCCAGAGCCAGACTTCAAGAGCTTTCTCTGTTTGTTTGCTTTTTTTTTTCACATCTCTCAACCCTACCAACCCCTCCTCCCCTCACCCCTCCGTTCAAGCTGCTTTCATCCGTCACTGACGACATCTTTGGTGCCACATTTACTGTCACTTTTCTGTCCTCGTTTAATCGACCTCAATAACATTTGACTTTCTCTCCTTCTGGGAACTTTGCTTGCTTGGCTTCCAAAGCATCTTGGTTTTCCTCCTGCTACCTGGCTGGTATACCTCCATCTCTCGGCAGAGTTGCCTTCCTCTGCCATCTTCTGAAGCTGATCTTCCCCAGGACCTGGTCTGGGGTGTCTCTTTCCTGCGCCCTGCCCAGGGACGCTGAGATGTTCCCATGGCTTTAAACCCCATAGTGGTGCCCACGTTTGGTCTTGAGCCCAGCTCCCCTCTGAGCTTTGGACTTGTATGTTCACCTGTCTACTTGGCACCTCAAACTCAACACGGCCCCCCTTGCACCTTTTCTATTGGTAGCCTGTTGTGTGTCTTTCTCGTGTAAGTACATGGCCCATCCATTCACCCGGCTGTTCAAGTTTTGAAGCTTCCATATTCATTCAAAATCAATTTCTGTCATGTCCACCTTCAGCATATATTTTGGATCCATCTGCCTCTTTCCAGCTCCACTCAGGTGTCACTACCTCGGTGCAACCACACGAACTCTTCACTGCCTGCTTGTCTGTTTTGCATTTTGGTCAGTGTGTGCATTTGTAGTTTGAGTAGATCCTGCCTGCTCCCTCCTGACATGCTCTGCACGGCAGCCAGGGCCCGATCACCACCCTTCTGCTTAGAGCCCTGCAGGAACTTCCCTGTTGCACGTTGGGGAAATGAAGCCCCTACCACAGCTTGCAAACCCTCGGCTTCTGACCCTACCTGTGCTTCTGCCTCCTCCAGCCGCTTCGGCCTCTGAGCGGTTCTTCAAAGACACTTGATGTCCTCAGAGGTGTCCCCACCTCCCCTTCGGCCTATCACCGTGCTGCCTTTCACACAGTGTCCCCACTAGACAGTGGACTCCTGAGGGCAGCACTGTTTACCCCGTGTCTGCCTGGCGCCTACTAGAGAACGTGGCCCATGTTTACAGAATGATAGAGTCAGCCAGTCCAAAGTCACTCGCTCGGAGCCAGTTGCAGAGCCTGTAGTAGAAAACGTTTCCCCTGATTCCTGGTCCAGGATTCCTTTTTCCATACTAGAGAGTGGGAAATTTCTAGAAGCGACCTGTATAATTGACTTCCTAGGTTCAGACATGTAAAAAGTGAAATGTCTGTCTCTCATGTTTGTCCCTTCGCCACCCCGTTGCCTCCTGCAGAGCCCAATGATGTCATCAGTGTCTCAGGTGTTCTTGCAGACATAATCTGGGCGAGTGCAGGCCAGTGTCCAAGCCAGTTCAAGGTCAACCGTTTCCCGGCTCTTAATGCAGCTCCCTTCTTTATAGCGTTTACAATCCTGTCCCTGCAGCTCGTTTTTTTCGTCTAATTCAGCTGACTGATCGTGTATATCAACATAGGAAGAGTGTTACTATTCTTTTTTGTGCCTAAATAGTGCTCCATTGTGGGGTTGTCCTGTACTGTATCTCATCTGCTGTGGGTGAACATTTATTTTGTGTCTTGCTCTTGCAATAAATAACGTCGTGAATGTCTGTGGTTTGCATTCACAGTAGCTGTGCTGAGCCAAACAGCACGTGCGTTTACTCTGGTAGGTTCTGCCAGGTCGGCTTCTGTAGAGCTGTAGCGATGGGCACCTTCCCAGTGGCGCAGGAATCTAACTTTTTGATTTTGAACAATCTGTTAAGTGAAAAGTGGAATCTCACGCTGTTTAGTTTTCATTACTGTTACTTTTGAGTGAGGCTGAACTTCTTGTCCTAGATTTAAGAACATTTCATTTTATTTTCTGTGAATTTTATCTGTTCATACCCTATGTTTGTGCTCCCATTACGTGGTTAATTGTTGTTTTAGCGGTTTTGTAGGCACCACTCATGAGTTAGCCTTTGCGATGTGAGCAGCAAATAGCTTTTCCATATTCATAGTTTCTTTTAACTTTGCTCATGGTGATTTTTGCCAAGCAGAGATTTAAAACATTGTTTACGTATTGGACTCTCAACCCTTTGTTTTATGGCTTCTAGTTTGGCGTCGTTGACCGCCACACTCCAGATTATAAAATAATTTCCCCATGGTTTATTATTGTTCTATTAGGGTTTTATCATTTTTAATTACTTCTTTGAGTTATTTGGAATTTGTCCTGGTAGGGTATGAGATATGGATCAAAATATATATATATATATATTTTCCACAAAGGGTTATCTAGTTTATCTCAATACCATTTACTGAATAGTCCACTTTCCTCTCCTCTTTGCTGTGTTACTTTTATGATATACTAAATTTTCTTTATATTCATCTTGCATATTTCTTGTTAGGTTTTTTCACAGGGATTTTGTGTTGTTTGCTGCTACTGTAAATGAGGTATTTTGTCCCATTATATCTCCTGTTCTTTGTAGATCTGAAAGCTATTGATTGCTGGGTAATAATTTTGCCCTTAGCCATGTGCTTTTATCCTTTGTCTATTTATAATAGTTTTCAGTTGATTTTCTTGTGCATCACAGCATCTGTGCACAAAGAAATCTACCTCCAAATTCTCTGTCCTTTGTCTAATTGTGTTGGTTAATACATAATAGAGCAATGTTAAGAATTGTGGTGACAGTAGATGTCATTGCCATGTGCCTGGCTTTAATGGAATTTCTTCTTTAGTTTTCCGTTAGGCCTGAGGCTGGCCTGGGGTTAATGTACACACGTAGATGGTAGTCCCTGGTGCTGTTCCTCAGTGTTTCTCTGTTTTGTTTTTTGTTTTTCTCCTGGATACATGGTAGAGCTGTACTTCCCTGCCCACTTGGATTTGGATTTGGCTTGGAAAGTGGCCAAAAGGTGGCCAATGGAGTGTTGCGATAAGTGTCTCCTCTGGGTCTTGAAGAGTCAGCGTGGGACTTGCTGCTTCCTCCCCTTCTGCTACGGAGACCAGCAGTGAGACCAGCAGTGTTCCCGATGCGGGAGGCTCTACCAGCGGGTCCCGGAATGGGGAGGACAGGAACGGGCCCCAGCCCACCCTCGGCAGACACAGGGTTTGCGTGAGAAATGCAGCTTCGTTGTTAGGAGCCTCTTGCGATTCGGGGATGGTCTGTTACTTCAGCATAAGTTAGTCTGTCCTCTCTGATAAAATATATTTGCCCCTGGCTTTTATTTATTTATTTTTTTAAAAGATTTTTTTTTATTGGGGAATTGCGGGGAGGAGAACAGCGCTGGGGAATTGGGGGAAGGGGAACAGACAAGTTGCTGTCGTTTTGTTCTTCAATCTAGTTGTGGAGGACGTTGCTTCACTGGCCCAAGTCGGCACCATCATTGCGCTCTTCCTGGGTGAGGCATATCAGTCGCCGGCTTCTGGACGGCCGCTCACTGCGGCTGCTGGCCGCTCACGCTGGCTGCTGGCCGCTCACGCTGGCTGCTGGCTACAGACGGTAGCCCATGGCAACCCACTGCCACAGGGGCTGCAGCCTACGCCGCCACCGGCGACTCAGGGCATCCCAGCTCCAGGTCGAGCTGTTGTTCAGCATCTTAGCTGTGGAGGGCAGTGTCACTGGCCCTCATATGTGGGATCCGAACCGGGGCCCTCTGGCGTCCCAAGCCAGTTCTTAACCATCACGCCACTCGGCCGGCCCTGCCCCTGGCTTTTAGAAGGAATGCTTCTCATGGTATCCCATTAAACCTAATTTTGGGTTTGGGGTTGGGCTGGATACTTCCTTATATGATAAAATATACCTGTTACTTTTTATGAAGCATTTCAAAGTCAGCAATGTATGTTGCATTTTATCGTATGCCTTATCGGCATGTATGGAGACCATCGTGTGGGTTTCCCTTTAGGCCTAGTGCATAAGGAGTATGTTACTAGATGGTGTGAAGTTAAACCATCTTGTAGTCCTGAAGTCCTGGTCAGACCTCACTCGGTCGTGATAGATTCTTCTCCTTTTAATGTGTTGCTGGATTCTGTTGGCTAATCTTCCTATTTAGGATTATTATGTTGAGACTAGCCTGCAGCTTTCCTGATTGAGAAATCCTTATGGGCTTTCAGTGTGGTTATCTGTGCTTATGGAAGTAAGTAGGAAGGCTTCTTTTTTCTGTCTTTTGGAGCAACATAGATAGTTTTGGAATTATATATTCTTTAAAGATTTGGTAGAATTATCCTACGAAGCTATCTGGGACTTGTGCTTTTAGGGGGAGAATAGCTCTTTAATAAATTTGTCCAGTTATTTTACAATTTAACTATTAGGATTTTTTTCATCTCTTCTGGAGTTAGTTTTATAAGTAAATCAATTGAAATACAAAAAATAAATTCTGTTGTCTAGAAAATTATCCGTTTTGGCCAAGTCCTTAGCTTTACGTGCATGGAGTTGAGCAAACTAGCTTATGAATCTTACTTTCCTTCCTCTCTGCTTATTTCTATTTATTTCTTTTGTGCATTTGTGCTTTCTACCTTTCCCTTGATTAGGTAGTTAGGGCTAATTGAATTGACTAATTAGGACATAATTAGAATATAAGTATATTTTTAAATTTTATGGTTTTGCTAATAAGCATGCTCTATTGTTCATTAGCACAAATAAGATGTGATTCATGAAATTATGTATAAACTTATTGAAATATCAGTTCATTGCATTTTGCTAAATATTTGCTCAGTGTCTGGCTCTTAGCTGGACATTGGGAAATACGGGAGAGTGTTAATTTGTTGTCTTGAGGGAGCTTATAGTCTAGTTGGGGCCACAGAAGGCTCAGGAGACATTTACCGACTAGGGACGCTAGTGCATGATAGAGGTCAGGTACAGGAGCCCCAGGGAGGGGCAGGGTGAAGTAGAAGAGAGGGCCTCCAGCACAGGGACCCCCATCCCAGAGCCTGTGATCTGTTAGAGGGAGTCAGGCTTACACACAGACAGGGCTGGTGAAGGCACTATGGTGGTAATATGGATGGGGCACAAAACGCAGGTTTATCTGGGGGTTCAGGGTGGCCCCAAGAAGAGATGATAGCTGTTACTGAGTGAATGGCTGAGGCTCTTTTAAAAAGAAAATGGAAAAAATAAGATAACCTAGAGGCCTCTATGAAAATGTGACTTAAATTAATGGTAAGTTACACATCGGAAGTGAAATTTTGTAATAGTTTTGATAGCTATAGAGACCGGTAATGTTTTTTCTTTATCAGCCCCAAGCCTAAAGTAACGCAGACTTTTTCCCCCCAGACGTTCTTCTTTTGGCCGATGAAAAATTTGACTTCGATCTTTCATTGTCTTCTTTAAGGTAAACAAATGCGTTTCTTCCATTGCCTTGGGCATAACCACGTTCGGTAAAATCTTCTATTTAAATACCAGTGTTATTAATAATCCTTTTCTTTTAAAACAGTGCAAATGAAGATGATGAAGTCTTTTTTGGACCCATTGGCCATAAAGAAAGATGCATTGCTACCAGCTTAGAATTAAATAACCAGATTCCTGCAGAACCCCTCTTGCCAGCCTCGGAATGTCACTTCCGTTGGAGCCCTCTCACTGGGGAGAAGTTTGTGGAAGTTTATAAAGAAGCTCACTTGCTGGCCTTACAGATACAAAGCAACAGCAGAAGCGAGGCGGCCCCAGCTGCCAGGCCTGAGGACCTTTGGAGCCAGGGCGTTGAGAGATTCATACAGGAATCAAAGTTAAAAATGCACCTGTTTGACAAAGAGAATGACATGAAGAAAAGCCCCAGGTCACTTAAAAGGGAGACATACTACCTGGCGGACAGCCCCTTGGGACCACCGCCCTCGGGAATCCAGCCCCCCTCAGGCATGGGCCAGCAGGGGGCTCCTGCCCAGGCCAGCCTCCCCCAGCCGCAGAGGCCACCGCTGTCTTCTTCTTCTTTGCCAGAGGAACCAAGTTCCGTTCGCCTTCCAGGCCAGGCAGCGACTCAGAAGAAGGTCTTCAGCAAGTTGCTGCCTCCCCGAGCCTCATCCATTCGAGGAAAAAGCACTTCCTTGGCCGTGGACAAGGTAGACAAGCCCACGGACCAGCACGTTTATCGGGTGTGCTTCTCAGCCCTCTCGGTTTAGCCCTATAATGGAAACCTTAACGGGGGAAAACTTGGAGGTGTAGCTGCTCCGAGGGTACATGGGGTGGGAGAGCAGCATCAGTGGGGGGGCGTGGGCAGGCCTGTCTTGCTCATGGGATGACTTAAAAGCACCCCTAAATTCTGTCTGGAATTTTTCATATGGTTTTGTTAGGACACTGGCACTCACCTGTCAGGGATTTCATTTGCATTAACAAGCAACATCCGGAAATCCCCCTTCCTTCCCCCCTGCAATGGCCACGTGTCACCCTCCTTCACTGTGACTTAGTTTAGATTGCCACCCTCACTGGCATTAAGCAATGAGCTGTCCTGGGAAGTGCCTTTGGGGAGCGGTCACCAGCTCTGGGAAGCTGGGGTCCTGGAGGCTTGTGGGGGAGGGCCCTAGGGGAAGGGAAGGTGGGGGTCAGATGGCGGCTTTTGTCTGATGTGGCTGCGTGCTCAGGGGAGGGAGGAAGCTCCTACTTTGGAGGAGACGCAGCAGAGAGGCCAGAGGAGCGGGGTGCAGCCGCTCCGGGCCTTCCCCGGCTCTGCTCCTGCTCTGGGCGGCCGGCCCCAGCTGAGCCAGAGCAACGATGCTTTGAGGGCTTGTTAGTGGTCCAGGTCGATGCAGAGCGCCTGGCAGGGGCCTAGAAACGCTTTTCCCCCCCTACGTGCACACTGAACTGCAGGACCCCCTCCTGTCAGACCCAGAATTGAACCAGGCTGAGAGCACCCGCTGGGCAGAGCCCGGACCAAGGAGGTGTGACGGCCAGCGCTTCCCCAGTGTAGCTGGGGCCCTTCCCTCCACCACACAGGGTTCTTTTTCTGGAGGCCATTCGGATGTGAACTTCTAAAGTGATGTTTCTAGAATGAGGTTGAGCTGGGTGTGGTGTGTGACACGTGGCCTTAGGGCAGACGGATTGTGACATAATTTTGGCTATTCTGGGGCTTGTTATTCTCCTCGTAGCCATGACCTGGCGCCCGAGAGCGGAGTGTTTGCTCAGCGAGGGGCGAGCTGTACAGAGCTGAGCCGCACTTCTAGCCCTTGGGACCTGCCACCCCTCCCCACGTTTCTGTGGGAAAAGTCACTCACTTCTGGGGTGACTCAGGCACACCCGCATTCGTGTGAGGGCTGCCTCTAGAAACAGCTGGGCCACTTGACTGCACTGTTTAGAAGTGTGCTTTCGCAGCAACTGCTAGGACGGCTGTAGCAACAAGAAAGTCCAGAGGCGGCCCAGGAATTGGCACCCTCGTGCCTCGCTGCTGGGAATGAATGTGAAATGATGCGGCCCCCGTGGAAAGCAGCCTGGCTGTTCCTGAAACAGTTACACGTGGAGTGACCATATGACCCAGCAATTGCACACTTTGGAATATACCCAAGAGAAATGGAAACATCTGTCCGCACGTAAACCCTTGCCCCAGTGTTCCCAGCAGCACTGCTCGTAATAACCAGAAAGCAGACACAACCCAGATGTCTATCAACTGATGGACAGATACAGAAAATGCGGGCTAGGCAGACAATGGAACACTTCGGGCATTGAAGAAGTGCAGTGCTAACCACTTTTAATCACATGAAAATTATTTAAAAATTAAAAAAAAAAAAGAAATGCAGCACTGATACAGGCTATAAAACGGGCGACCCTTGAAAACATTATGCTCTGTGAAAGGAGCCAGGCATGAAAGAAAGGTCACCTACTGTACGATCCCATGTACATGAAGTGACCATAACAGGCACATTATAAAGACAGGGAGTAGATGAGCAGTTGCCCGGGCTGGGGAGTGACTGCTAATGGTGATGAGTTTCGTTTAGGGGCAGCACAAACGTTCTGAAATGATGGCTGCATGATGTGAATACGCCACTGAAGTGTACGCTTTAAAGTGGTGAATTTTGTGCTATGGGAGGTATATCTCAATTTTTCAAATGACATGAAGGAAAAGGAATTTACTGCTTCATCTTCATGACTTTATGAGCTTCTGTTGCTTCTTGTTAACTTGCTGTTATTAGGGGTTATTTATATAAGCGCGGCTTAGTCCCAAGCATGCCCTCGGACCTAAATGTCAGGAATTTATGACTTGTCTGACTGTTGGCCGAAGGAAAATGGCTCTCGGGACTAGACGGGGGAGATTTGTTGCAGCCGAGCCGCTTCTCTGGTGGAGGGAATGACCGGTTAATGAATGGCTCCTTCTGAACTGCGTTTTAAAATCTGCGTAACTAGAACCAGTCTCCTCATTACCATCCTTAAATAAAAATCCCGCTGGAGGAATAGCTCCAGAGGATCTCTCTTCTACTAATGAGCTCTCTGTCTTGATGTTATTTTACCCTGTTTTTAATGAGGAAGCATATTCCATCATCATTTTCGTCCGTGGTAATTTGGTGGAGGAAGTGAACTGCTCTGTTCCTCTCAATCTCGTTGATGAATTAAGGGACATGTACAGCCCTGGGAAGATAGATGGTGCCTGCGGTTGCTCTAAGTTGAAGCCTTACTGTGTCTGTACTTTGTTAAAGGCTGGACAGGTCTCACATTTCAATTTAAAATTTTTCAGCCTACGAAAGAGAAACCAGCTAGTCCCTCCAGGATGAAGATCCTAAATGAAAAGGATCTCCACAGGGACATGGCCCCTGACAAGCCCAGTGCTGCCCGGGATGTCACCAGCTTGCCAGCCAGTGGCAGCCACTTGGTCCAAGGCAAGCGCACGCTCCCTGTTCCAAACAAGGTGGGTTGGCCGGGCTGCAGGTGGGCTGTGGCTTGTGAGGGAAGGGAATGAATTAGGCGGCAGCTGTGTGTACACGGGACATGTCTTTGGATGAAAGTCAAGGTTGGAAGGTCGAAACTGATCCAGGAGAGGCAGCGTGGTGAAACGCGAAGGCCAGGCCTGGCGTGCCCTGGGGGCTGGCCTCTGCCCCAGGGAGCCGTTTGGGCGACAAGCTCCCTGCGGCCCCGCAGGGACCTGGTGTGGATGAGAAGGTGTGTCGATGCTTTGAAACCGCAGCTCCTCAGGCCTGGCGACTCAGCGTCCACATCTTTGCCATTTATTTATTTCCCAGCATTGGGGCCAAGCAGCTGTGTGTACGTGTAAGAGCTGCCGAAAGCTGGGCCCCACAGCTACTCATTCGGGCGCCTGGGCTGGGACCCAGAAATCCTGCCCAGCTGTTTCTCATGCGGAACTTTGAGAAATACTTTTTTTTGAGAAGAATCATTTTTCTTTTTAAACTATATAGTGTTTTTTCGGGGAACAATGTGTTTTTTCCCGGACCTCCAAGTCAAGTTGTTGTCCTTCAATCTTAGTTGTGGAGGGCGCAGCTCAGCTCCAAGTCCAGTCACCGTTTTCAATCTAGTTGCGGGGGGCACAGGCACCATCCCATGCGGGAGTCGAACCAGCAACCTTGTTAAGAGCACGCGCTCTAACCAACTGAGCCATCTGGCCGCCCACTGGCAGCTCAGCTCAAGTCATTGTCTTCAATCTAGTTGCCGAGGACGTAGCTCACTGGTCCATGTCGGAATCGAACCGGCAACCCTGTTGCTCAGAACACGTGCTCTAACCAATTGAGCCACTCGGCTGCCCAGAGAAGTACTTCTTGACCTTTTTTTTCTTTATATTCGAATGATAATTATTAAATTATTAAGACTTTTTTAATACCGTACTTTTGTATTATAATAGAAATAAGTAATGGATAGATGATGGACTGTTCGATGATTTCATTTTTTAACATTTTGTTTCAGTTGAAGCTGAAGAAATCCCTGTTAAAACCACCTGGTTGTGCTGGCAGTCTTGCAAGAAAGTCCTCTTCCTGTGGGTCCGTTTCGGGCGTGACTTCCACTGTGCCTGCTGAACCAGCCGCAGGCAGAGGTAAGGCTGGCCTGCCGGCATCTCTGCTCAGACCCACATCTAGCCAGGCGAGGCCTTGGATGTTGTCCGTCGTTCTAAGACTGTTTTCACAGAACCACGTAGGCTCAGCAGAAGGTTCTGGAAGGCTTGCTGTGGCGTGTCAGGGACCCTGCCCTCAAGGTGCGTCCCCTCCTCTGGGGAGCAGAGCACTCAGATGGGTGGTTTTAGTTTAGGGCGCTAGGAGCAGTCCCAGGGCGGGCGTGTGCAGAAGGACGCCAAGTCCAGCCTCAGGGGACATGTGATCAGACTCGGGTTTTTAGAATAGGACGGTGCCAGGTGATTCAGTGCACATGACCCTTGTAACTCCTGGATGGTCATGTAAATCCCCACTCCCGACCCAGTTGAAACTTTCTACCTTTTACTCTTACCAAGCCAAGGACGCCACCTAGTGGCAAAAGGAAGAAACCCCGGTAACCTCAGGGAAAGGCCCTCTTCAGATGATACTTGCTGTGTAAACTCTGACGCTAGTCCGCACAGTGTGAGAAGCATGAGCCCGGAGTCAGACTGATCTGAGTAGAACTGAAGTGGTTTCTGCATCTTTACAGATGTGGGTGGGGGAGTGATGCCTCCCTTGCCAGGTTCTTGTGGGCGTGGGAAGAGCTGCGTGAAGTGGCAGCTCGGTCCCTGGCATGTGACAAGCGTTCAGTGAGCGGTTCTGTCACGTTAGGCATTGTGACATCCCTTTTGCTGTGTTGGTTCAGGGCATCGGTGCCATTTTTGTCTATTGTTTCTGCATTCCTGCCTGGGGAAGGTTGAGTTGAGTGGAATGGGGCTTCTGGTGTGTGTACTTTCTCGTCGCCAGAGCAGGATCACTGGGGTCAGTTACGACGGCGTGTGGGGAGGGATAGAGCAGTTACACACTATGTGGCATGAGCTGAGGCGTTAGTCACTAGTCACTCTCTTAAAGTTTTTCTTTAAGAATCTTTTACCAGAGCGGCTGAAGCAGATGGGTCCAAGTCAGGGTGGCTGTCGTGGTCCTGGAGGTGGCAAGAAGGGTGACTGGGGCAAGAAAAAGAAATGGGCGCCTCCTGTATCAACTCGAGTGGGGGAAAGAAGGGAACAAAGAGACCCGGTGCTGCCAGCAAACAGCCACTGGTGACACCGCATACTCAGTGCCACCCAAAGCCACTAACATTAGAATTAAAGATTCTTCTCGTGGAGAAGAACTCACTAGAAGTCAGGAACAAATGAAGCCTTAGAAGGAAAGGAAGAGGCGGGAAGACCAAAGGTGTCCAAGTGCCGGCAGGAGCCTTGGAAGAGGCCGCTGATGACCGTCACGCCACCGCGTCTGCATCTGTGGGCTCAGAGCTCTACGTCTTTCACTGGCAGACGGGGGTCTGCTGGCACCGGGCTGCTCGGTCCTGCCCATCCCCAGGTGCCCGCTGGTGGGTGACACCGTGCTTGGCCACAGTGATGAAGTGGCCCCAGGAGACCTGCGCTGGGGGGCGGGGGGCTGAACGACCAAATCCAGGACATGAAGGGAACGAGGCGCTTCCGCTCGCTCACCCTTAATATTATGACGAGATGGTGTAAAGTCCCTTCAGGGGTCATTGTCTGTGGTCCACCTGGCGCAGGTGAACCTTACTAGCAAAGCAGTAGCAAACCAGGCCTCGCCCTGCCGGGAGAGCGGGGGACTCTGACTTACTCGGAAGCTCCTAGGCTTTGGGCCGCCACTCCTTCGGGAGTTGTTTCGAGTGGAGACATCAGTAAACACCGCCCATCGTGTTTACTGATGGACTGGATGCCACGGGGACAGAAAGGCAGGACTCGGATGCCAGTGCTGAGAGAGGAATTCCGCGCACGACATGGGAACTGTTGAACCAGTTGGATGGGCTTCATTCAAGGGGAGACGTGAAAGTTATGGCCGCAGACTGAATCGAAACGTAGCGTCCAGCACTCTTCAGACCAGGCTGTACTGAGGGAGATGCTCCCCTGCCCTTTCAGATCCACAGAAGCAGGGTGACCCTGGCGACAGTGGAACGACATGGTCACGGCTAACCACGACTTCTCTGGTGCCAGCACCAAGGCCATCTGTGCAGAGGCTGGTCTGTAGAAGGAAAGGAGCAAATGAAGACTTGGAAAATCTGAAGAAAATGTTCTTGATAAAAGCACCCTTGAGGGCCTCCATCTCTAGCGAACCCCAGTTGCCTTCAAGGATAGTGGGAGGGGTGTCCCGACCCGTCGGAGGGAGGAGGCTGGGGAAGCTGCCCAGAGGCCCCCACGTTCCAGGTGATCTGAGCACAGCACCCTGGGCACCGTTCTGAGCCTGGCAGGGCAGGCGCCTGTCGGCTGCCTTCATCTGCTGGTCACATGCAGTGCTCTCTGCCCACTAAATGGGCTGTTTCTCAAACAGGTAAAAAAAAACCTTGAACCAGATTGACTTGTATGTTGGGTGTATTGGCAGCAGGGTATTTTTACCCTGTTTATTTGCTTTCTATTTTAAATAGCGCTCATGATTGATGTGACCCAGCCTCCTTATAATTTAAAGGAACGGACCGTAATAATTGCATCTTCTCTCCCTGTTCCCCTCCCACCTCCCTGCCAGGACAGGTGGGGCGTTGAGTTGGGGGACCTGCAGATTCTGACCTGATGAATGGGAGGTACAGGCTCCCTCAGTATCTGAGCTCCTGCTTTGGGGAGGTGAAAAACTCGGGGTTGTTCTGAAGGCACAGTTTCAATACACCCACACAGGGAAGTAAAGTCACAGATTTATTACTTATAGATTCCAGAAATGGGGGTGGGGTGCAGTGAGCCCGGGGAAAGGCAGCCCACCCTCTCAGGTCACTAGCGAGCAGGAGAGACAGCAGGGCAGCAAGCACTTAGTACTTAGAAGGGGACTGGGCGGAGGTCACTAGCTTTTCATTGGCTTAGCTCTAAGTGGTTATTTTTAAAGGCGCCCTGGGAAAAGCAAAGCCGGAACTTGGGGTGAGAATTCTAAGCTCAGGTCCTCGTCCAAATGTCTGGACTCTGGGTGTGAGTGGGGTTGTCACACCCTGAAATGCTTGGGCAGTGACCGCTGTTTTCATCACAGGTATGTAACTAGCCTACCCACTTCCATCCACTCACCTAGGGTAGGTTTCTGCTGTTGACATAATCGATGAAGATAGGAGAGTCTGAGTGTCTGTATACTTATGTTCGTCTTGGTAACTGTGTCCAGAATCAGCCCCTTAGAATACACCCAGCTAAGCCACAAGCAGCTTGGGTTGCCCTGTGTTTGAGGATAGTGCATGATGGGCAGACAGAATATTGTTCCTATTGCCATGTGTTTCTTGTATGGAAATCATCGTAACGGAAATAAATAATTTTTTTCACTTGAAAACATTTTAAGGTAGATATGCTAAAGATAGCGTATCTCATGTGTGTTTGTTAAATAACTTCATAATTGAAAAATAACATAAGCTTGAGTGGTAACCAGGTTTTGTATGTCTCCTCTTCCACCTAAATCAGGTGAACGTCCAAGCACTCCTGCAGACGGTTCCCGGCCTCTGTCGGATACCAGCCAGTCGGGCAGACCAGGATCCGCCGTGCCGCGGCCGGCTCTGCAGGGAGGCCCTGGGGCTGTGTGCAGGCGGAGCCGGGGGGCCGCTGGGCCTGCTGAGCTGACAGCGGAGCGACCCACAGCGCCCAGCGCAGCAGCTCTCCCCCAACCCCAGACTCCAGAGCAGGGAGGCCCAAGGCTGAACTCTCAACGGAATAAAACCGGGAGTACAAGAAGGCGAGATTCTTTCCTGAATTCCAAGACAAAGGTTATGCCCACCCCTACAACTCAATTTAAAATTCCTAAGTTTGCTACTGGTAAGTCGTAGATATATTTTAATGTTTTTAAAATATTGAACAAATTATATTTAAAGTTAAAAACATTAGTTTTGGTGATGCTGGTTTCTTCGCTTCCTGTTTCCTGAGCGTCCTTGAACTGTGTCTCCTGGCGTGTGTTGGATGAGAAGCCAGTGGGTCTCTTATCTTGCATCCTCTCCCCTTGGTGTCACATTCACTGTTCTTTTGCTGCTCTTAAGATTTTCTTTTGTTATTTTCAGCATTCTGATTATTCTTTCGAATGATCTTTGTATTTATTATGCTCGGGGGTTCTTAAGCTTCTTTGCTTCATGGGTTGATAATTATAAACAAATCTGGAAAAATGAGGCCGTTATGTCTTCGAATATTTCTTCTTGCTTCCCCTCATTCCCTGGATTCTAAGTACATGGGTTACAGACCTCTTGACGTTGTCTTGTAGGTCATGGAAGCTCTGTTTTTTTTCCCAGCCTCTTTTCTTGTGCTTCAGTTTGTATAGGTTCTAGTGCCATGTCTTCAAGTTCACATATCTCTCCCTGCAGTGTGTTGGATCTGCTATTAAACCCACCCAGTTAAGTTTTTATTTCTGACATTACAGTTTCCCTATTTTGGCCCCATGGTGTTTGTTTTCCTTTAAATTCTTGCACATATTTATGATTGTTTTAAAGTCTGTTTCTTCTAATCCCATCTACCCTGTCATTTTGGGGCCTGTTTGTATTGATTGATTTTTTTTTTTTCCTGGTTACGGTCACATTTTTCCTGCTTCTTCACATGTTTAATCATTTTTTATTGTCTGCTAGATTTTGTAAATTTTACATTTTTGCATGTTTGGATTTTGCTGTTTTTCTTTAAGGAGTTGAATTGGCTTTGGCAGGCGGTCAAATTTCGAGGCTTCTTTTTAAGCTTTGATGGGCGACTCTCAAATCGCCTTTACTCTTGGCATAGGTCAGCCCCGCCACCAACGTGTGGCCTTTCTGAGTCTGCTGACTGTGCTGTGTGTCCCCGGGTCTGCAGCCTGGCTGCTCGGCTGTGAGTATGCTCCAGGCCTACATGAGCCGTGGCACTCGTCCCCAGCAGTTCTTATCTCGGCCTCTTGGAGTCTTGCCTGACACGCGTGCGACTGCTTACTATGCAGCAAAGACTCGGGGTCCTGCTCTTATTCCTAGAGCCTTTCTCTGTAGCTCCCTCCTCTCCAGCACTTCCCCTCATTCCCAGCCTCCTCCGCCTCCCAGAACCCTGACTATTGTCTCCTCAAATCAGTGAGACTGCCGAGCTTGCTGGGGCTCCCTTCCCGCACCTGCGTTCTGACGGGGCCACCGAGCAGAAAGCCCAGCGGTGTGCCTGGCAGGAGTCGGTGGGTGTTTGGTCATGGTCGCCTCACCGAATAAGTTTCTTGAACACAGAGAGTTAGAGCTGGTTTAAGGGAGAGGGCAGTTCTGGCCCCTCTCTCAGGTGGATGCCTGCCAGGCAGCTTGTATGTTTGGACGTTGGCAGTGCTGCTGGAGAGGACAGGCGGCCTTTAATGCCCGAAAACCTCGTTTCGAGTTACTGCTCGTACCAGAACAAGCTGTTCTCTGCGTGTCTTCCAGCGGCAGGCACTCTGTTAGGTATGAGGCGTGTAATGGTAAGTCAGATCCCACTCTCATGGAATTGCTTTTTAATAGTAAAAGATAAGAAATGGCATCAAATGAGTATACTTACAGATTGTAAGTATAATGAAGCAAATAAAAGGAGATGATGTCATAATGACTGGTGTGTGTGTGAGGAGAATTTAGACAGAGGGGTCCTTTCAGCTAAGCTGGTCAGTGAAGGCCCCTCTCAGGAGGTGACACTGAGCAGAGACCTGACCCTTTACAACAGCCCGAGGGAGAACATTCCAGGCAGGAAATGGCGTGTGCAGTGGCCCCAAGATGTGAAGGACACTTAACTAAGTTAGGAAGCGGCACGAAGGCCAGGGTGGTGGGAATGCAGACACAAGCATTAGGATTGGATTCTGCTACAGGCCCAGAATAACACCGGTTTAACTCGGGATAGGTGTTTATTTCCCTTTCACATAAAAGCCTAGTAGGGAGATTTTCAGAGCTGGCCGGCTCGCCTCAGTATGAGGGACCCAGGCCTCTTCCACCTTGTTTTGCTTCGCTTCTCTTCATGGTCCAGTGTGGCTGCACCAGCTCCAGCCCTCACACCTACCTGCTGTCCCCTCCTGACACCTGGGCCCCGGTTATCTTCCCTGTGGGCTTGTCTGAGCATTGTCTACTTTCTGTACCAACTTCGCTGGAGCTTGGGGAAATGGAGGTAGAGAATTGCCCGTTGGGTGAAGAGCCCCAAACAATGCACTTACCGCTCGATCCGGGTTTGACTGCACGCTTCCTCTCGTCTCAGGTGAACCCCCAGACAGCACGACACCCCGGTTCTCTCGGGCACAGAGGCCACAGTCCTGCACATCGGTGGAGAGGTAATGTGTTAGTCTGCTTCTTTTTATTACTGTAACAACAAGTTAATGCACCTGCTAACTTCTCAAAGCGCCTTCTCAAAGGCGCGGTGACCCCACATCCTGGCCACGTACGTCTGGCCTCAGCCGCCAGTCTCTCAGACACCACTTTCACCTCCACGGCAGTTTACCATAGCCACAGGCTTTTCCTCCTGTGGTGTAGACGCGACTCTTGGCCCTGACCTGGGGCGGTTCTCCAGCGGGGCCACATGGCGGAACCGCCTTTGGAGCTGTCGTGAGTGCCCGCCCAGCCCAGAAGCGCTGATTCAGCAGGCCTGGGCTGCAGCCCAGCCTCTGCGGGTCCTCGGAGGTGACTGATCTGGGCCGCAGGTGGAGACCACTGGTTGATGCGCTTATTCTGACTTGGCTGGAGTCCCAGTTTTGCCACTTCCTGACCTAGATCTAGTGCGAGATGTTTTTCCGGCCCTGCCTGTGAAGCGCAGTCACATCTGCCTGGAACCTGTGAGGACAGAGGCGGGGCCTTGCCCAGTGAGGAGCCGGAGCCCCCACCAGGGTATCGGCAATTGGCGGCAGCCCCTTGCTGCCAGAGAACAGCTCAAACAGGCTTCGCTGGCTTGACTCTTCCATGGTGAAGCCGTAGGCTTCTCTACTGTGTTGGCACACTGGCTGAAAAATTGGACCGTTTTTCAGGTCATCTGTGCTTACGACCCGTTTTGTCTTTCCAGGGCGGCCGTCCACAGCACTCCTGCGCGGCGCTCCTCAGGGCCGGCCTCACAGAGCCTGGTAAGCGCTGCGAGGATGTCGGCCTTGCCTACGCCTGCCGGCCGTCGGCTGTCTGGTCTTCCACTGATGACCCCTAGAACCGTGCCCAGGGTCCTGGCTTCTCCCCTGTGCGTGTCTGCTCGGCAACTTTCTTCTGAGCCCCGGAAAAAGTCTGCAGTGAGGTAAGAAATAAAGGTGGCAATAAGTGTGTCTCAAATTCATAAAGCCTCCTGCAGACCCTGCGCTGGAAAGGCTGCCTCATCTGGTCACCTGTCAGGAGCGGCGGGACAGCGACAGTGACAGCAGCCTGCCCCACGCTGTCCTGCTGGTTCTCTGACAGGAAGGGAGGGCACCTGCTCGTTCCTCCAGGTCACTCACCTGGCATCACATCCTGGGGTTCGGGCTGGTGGCCTGGACAAGCAAGGAGGCCTGACCCTGGTCACACCGGACGGACGGACAGATAGGAGCGGGCCCCACACTGGCGGAGCTCTTCGGGCAAAGCTGCACAGTAACAAGCATTCATGTCAGGAGCTCTGGGATCTGGTGCCACCCTTGTCACTGGGTCCCATGGAGAGCCCGCAGCTTTGCCCTCGAGGGCCTCGGTCGCAGTGACAGCGATGACACTCAGGCTTCCTGAGAAACAGACTGAATGTGTCGAAGCGCCTGTGCACCCGCCTCTCACTCCTCGTCTCCCCTCCCTCTGTCACTTCACTCCAGCCGCTGGCCTCTTCTCCGTCTGGCAGACAGGCCTGTCCTTGCCGTCCTGCCCTGGTCCTGGCAGAGCTGCCCCTGCCCAGAACGCAGTCCACGTTCAGAGGCCAGACTTGGGCCTTTATGGGGCGCCCCACCTCCCACCCATCACTCCAGTCCGTTTTCCTGCTGGGGCTGTTCAGAGCGCCCCTCACCTCCGCCTACCTGAATGTAGAGCGTGCGCGTACCTGGCCGCTTGACCGCCATCTGACACTCCATTAGCCGAAGCTCCCTGAGAGCTGGGACCTTCTGTCAGGCTGGTCACCGTGTCCCAGTTCCTGGCACACACTAGGTGCTCAGGACACATTTACGGGAAGACTCGCTGAGTAGAAGATGTTGGTGACCAGCTTCCTTGACTGGAAGTTTTGTCTGAAGGAGACGTCACGGGTGAAGCATAGGCGTCAGGCTTTCCTTCTCTCACTGCGTCACCGCAGAGCTTTGGGAAACGCTGGGGATTCTGGGAATGTGGGGACCTTAAATCGACTCGTTCTTTTCACTCCCAATTCCAATTTTGCTCTGACGCTTCTGAGCCAGCTTCTGGGCCTCCAGGACTGAGGTGAGCACAGGTGGGCACCTGCCCTTTGGGGTTGGGGGGGTGACAGGCGCAAGGCCAGCGTCAGGAGCCCCTAAAGCTATGGAGTCTGGGAAGAGTGCCCACGGGTCTGTGGGTCCCGAGTTGGAGGCAGGAAGGTTAGGACAGCCTCATCCGCCCAGGCCCAAGAGGCCACTTAAATTCTAGTTAATTGAGATTGAAATAAAATTCAGATTTCAGCTCCTCATTTGCACCAGCCTCATTTCCAGTGCTCACCAGCCCTCTGGGGCCCATGGCTACCGTCTTGGACAGTGCGGACAGCGGACATTCTTGCCTCACCTGGCAGGGCCTGCTGCCCCCAGAGGCCACTGTACTCCACTTCTGTTGGTGGTGGCACTGCGGCTGACCGGCCGTCTCATAACCGGCCTGAGTCCCAGGGACCTGACCTTGCCGCATCTGTCCCGAGCCCCCAAGTGGCATGGGGAGAAGTCGGCCCAGTAGACAAGATTGCAGTGAAGAAATAGACACAGAAGACAGATTCAGGGCATTCTAAGGAAACACTGCCTGCGACTCTCCAGCAGTCATTTGAAAACCAGATGAAATGATTTCCTAAAAAATGTTATCTAAATTAACCCAAGGAAAGGGGAGAACACGAAGGAAGCCATAATCAGAGCTTAGAAAGTTGATTAAAGATTGAAAAGGGGGCCTGGCTCAGATGATGTCACAGCTGAGTCATAAGTAACCTTTAAAAATCTAAGTTACTATTTCAGATGGAAAGTTACTTAGTTCATTTTAATAGCCAAATCTGTTAGCTAATGATAACACTTAAAAAAGAAAACTGTAGACTGATTTCACTTATGGATTTAGATAGTTTTTAAAAACAAGCAATAGATTGTCATCTATCTGGAAGAAAATTAAATTGGACCCATCTTATATCAAGGAGAAATAAACCTCAGCTGATTAGACACCTAAATTAAAAAAATAAACAAAAACATTTTAGAAGAGGAGACCAAATAATCACAGGGCAGGAGCCCTAATCACAGCTGAAAACCCAGGAGAGATGAAAGAAAGGTAGCTGTAATTAACAGTGTAAAAGTTAAAAACTTCTCTAGGTATGGCTAAAGTGCCCATAAATGAAATCAGTAGACAAATAGTTGGATGCAGAACAGGAGACCATCTGAATGAGCTCACGTGGTCAGTGTCTGAGAAGACCCCCACGTCCACTGCGATCAGGAAAATGCTAACAAGAAATAGGAGACTGGTGGGGATTTGGTGAGGGGGGGCTGTTCTGGATCTGCGGCGGCTGCTGCTGGCAACGCGAATTGCAGTGGTGTGTTTGGGAAAGCCATTTATCAGCATCCGTTACAAGCCAATCACACACACCTCTGACCAGCAAACCTGCCACAGGAGTGAGACCACAGTTCAGATGCACCGAGACGCCTGCAGGGTCTCTCACAGCAAAGACTGGAAAGAAACCACCATTGAGGCGCTGGTGAGAGGCGTGAGCCAGCATTGTAGCCGCTGGGATTTCCATCAGGAGTGCGTGAGAGAAGGGGTGCTGAAGAGGCGTGGGAGATGAGCCAGTCCCATAGCGCAGTGGCTGAGAAAAAGTCCTACCTGTATAAATATGTACCCACCCGCAGCAGGCGATGCTGTGTGCATCGTACATGTGTCTACCTGCATGTTTCCATTTAGTTCTGTGAAAGCGGAGAAGACTGGGAGAAAAAACGCTAGGATATGTGTTACGTAGGGGAGAAGGAAGGGCAGACAGAAAGCGAGGACAGAGGCTGCACTAAAACGCAAACGAGGCTCAGTATGTCACAGTGACCTGCTGTCGTATGCTGTATGTTTGTGAGTGTAAATACAGAAAAAAAGGTCGTTTTTATCAGGTTGTTAAAAAGCCTTTAAAGTATTAAAAAGAAAATACAGTGCTGGCTGCACTGGTTGGGACAGCCACCAGGGCTGTCTGCCGGGTGGGGTTGCGGGGGGTGGTGGCCCCACTGGGGACCGAGTCACCAGCAGGTTCCCGCCTGTCTGGAGCGCCTGGCCAGGCCTCCTGAGCAGCAGCCGCAGATGGGACAGCCCGTGAGTTCTCTCAGGGCTGGGGGCGGGCGTGTGCAGGGCCTGGGAGGAGCCCAGGGCTGCAGCTCTCCTGCGTGTGGTCCCCACCCACCCCTCCTGTTTCATAACCTGGGAAAGGGGTGAAATGGGCCCTGCTGGTAGCAGACTGCTAAGTGGTATTGCTGATGGGAACCTCGGCAATCCCAGTCCTGACAGGTGGAACCAGAGCCAGGAGGCTCCCCTCTGTATGTCCCTTCTCCAAGCATTAAAGCAGGTCAAGCAACGCGCATTTTATTATTATTTTTTTTAAAGATTTTTATTGGGGAATTGGG